GGGCTGTCGACGGGACCTTATGATAGTACATTACAAATATTAACTGCACTTCGTTTTGGCTTAGTCATCCAACTTGGGCATTCATATCATGCACCAGGATTACCATATCACTTCTTTCTGACCGAGGCGGTCAATATAGCCCTTCCTTCTCAGTCTCGGAACTGTAGCCTGTCGGAGCATCTGCTGATACGGCCAATGAACACCGTTTACTGCATCCACCTGCACAGATGTTAATTGAGCCAGTCAACTGCACAGAACAAAGACGATTGTTTACTGAGATTTCTTTCAGCGCAACTCTCACACCATAGCTACCATGAGCCGTTGCGTCAGGAGTGAAATGTGGAATATCTGAGCTCATCCTAAGTGGCTAGAGGTGCACGACCGAAGTGAGAATTTGGTTAAGATACCCCACCTCGAGCCTTTGGCTCAAAAGTCTGACCCACAAGGCCGTGGGATGTAAGGTTTTGTTTGGGGACCCTGGCCCTAGCCTTTGATTCAAAAGTGAACGGAGAAGCAACAGCTATTAGGGTTTTCTTGGGGAGGCTTCCCTGAGCCAATTCAATAGTCTGACCTATTTGGTTGCTAGGCCTGGGCTGATGACACAGAGACCAAGGTACCGATGTCTCATCCCCAATGCGGCTCCGCACAGCAGGCGGCTTTTGAGCAGCACCAGAGTTGAAATAGCACACATTGTCGACGAGAAAATGAAGTCGACGGGGCTCAACATGACCGTCATTTTTAGCAGAGAGTCACATCACTTGTCAGATGGAAGAATTACACCCATACAAGGGAAACGAATTTTGGCCGAAGATATAACGACACGCTGTGTTGGCTGGAATTGCCATCTCTGCATGTGAAATACATAAATCAACATTTTTATGGTATTTTACAGAGTTACGAGATAAAATAGATGGACTGCATCATTCTAGCGCCTCTCAACGAAGCTGAGAGAACAGGTGCTTCTATGTTTTTGTCGCGTTTACCTTTCACTTTATCCTTACTTAATTCATTTGTTCGAATGGTAACCGGTAAACATATGAGTCTGTCCTATGATTACAATCGTAACCCAGAGACACTCAACTGGGGAGATAAATCTTGAAAAAACATGGATGATCCGATAACTTTGTGATCGAGTTTACACCAGTTTACTCCACAGTGTCGCCAGTGGGTATTGCCCTAGAATAAGACACTAGCTGGTCATCGTGTGAGCTGGTGATGAATCAGGTATAGCCTACATACGCCTCAGCATGGTCGGGGGTGTCTCAGGAAATGAGTAGTCACACCTCCTAAAACACACAAGATTTTCCCCCAGAACATTTGCCATTTGTTCACTGCTAAGAAGCTCGATTCACTGAATTCGAAGGTGTTTCCACTAGAGAGAATAGGCGAAAGCGGGTGTCGGGAGTTGTAACCTGGTCGACAGTCCACTGGTTGTCCGCCTGGGGGAGTTCAGTGAACTCCGATCCCAAGCCAAGGATGAGCAAGAGTTAGCTCCGGCTGACTGGATTGAGCTGAACTGGACCACTTCCAACAACTACTATGGGTATCCGGTTCCATCACTCAACGATTTTTTTTCTGTCGTGCAGATTACGTTTGGTTGTGCAAAATCTAGAGAAACCCCCTCAGACAACAGCCAAGCGAAACCGAGGACGTTTCTCATGACATATCCACTCGTGATATCATGAAGATGTCAAAATCAATCAATGCAAAGGATACTACGGCGTCTTCAGGAGGCAACGCAACCTATGACAGTCAGTCGCAGGGGTGATAAGTACGCGGACTGAGGTTGAGAATACAGCAAAATCTGTTTACAGCGATTGCTAGGATGTCCACACCGTGCTGAATGATCATATTCAGATAATTCTGTGGTCTACAACATTACCCACTGAGTATCACATACAGGTCCGGCCTATCAGAAAGGACAGATTCCTGAAAGCAACCAGTGAATGCCCGAAATCTACTGAGAGCCTCAACTCCGCTAGATGTTGACCAGACAGGCAACACCACCTCAATATGCAACGCTTCGCAGCCTTGTATCAAACCCAGACAGCGCGAGTCAGCGGTGGTCAAGGTCAGACAATGCCCCCGCAACATGCAGCGCGTCGCAGGCTCGTACCAAGGCCAGACCGCGTGCGTCAGCATTGGGCCAAGTTCAGACAGTGTTCCTCCAATAAATATCTTGAGACCGTTGTACTTACGCACTCGTACGCACTCACGCTCACTTGTTCGGAATATAACTGTTGTGATCCCTTCTGTGAGTCTTTTTTCCGGCATTAGACACTGGAGCGGGTCAGCAGCAGATACCACAGATTGGCGAACCAAACTCAGGCATCCTGAGATTCCATAGAGCCGGAATGAACGCCCACTACTGGTAGCACTACAGGAGGCTAGTTGACAACTCAGATCTTTACGGAATATTGGGCCATAGTTCAACGATAGTGAGAATCAAACTCCATCTGATTGCGAGACAAGAAAATCGACCCTTGAAACGCACCACATCCCACTACAGCACAATGAGACTAAAGCAAACTCCATAACAGAATCAGAACGCAACTGCGTGCGTCACCCTAGGAATCAATTAGTCTGGGTGGACGGTCAACGGTCAGTATTAAAGTAATCAATCCAACAAGCCTCAAAGGACTGTGTCAGTTAAACTACATAACGATAGGGGATGAATTTCAAACGGGCACGCATCAACGAGACGTCTGAATTTCGAAAGCTATGATGTGAAGCCATTAAATTTGCTAGAAACGACCGCATTTCGATTATGGCTTTTCCGTTTGCATCGTGACGCCTCTGGAAAGAACCACTTTCGAGCAGCATCAACAAAGAGAACAGATCAGTAGGAGAAGAAATGGAAGCTGGTTCAAGTAGAACATAAGGTTGACGGAAACTCGGGGACTGCGCCTACCTGATGAGCCCGAAACAGAAGGGGGAAAACTGTCGTGGGCTGTCGAAGGGTTTTCAGCAACCTTGTGAGTAGTTTCCTTCAGGAAGCTGGAATACTTCAGTCAGCTGGCAAACCACCCGGAACTTCGATCGGGAAACCTACCTGTAGGAGTTTTAAAGTATTAACTGTGAATGACCCAGTCAAGTAGGGATTAATCCGATTACTAATCGCCTACAGAAAGGATGATATATCGGATGATAGTATTTCCATGGGTGTGGAATTATTGCCTCCAACCCTCTAACCTCAACACAATATTCTTTTCTTTTCGGAGGTCGGAGTCTTCTTTTTTGCCCACCATCCTTAAGAAACGTGGCGAGAATTGTCAGGGAAGCGGTCTCATACATCTTGCCAGTGAGATCATTGCTTCTACAATACTCTAAAGATTTTCTGAAGTAGGAAACACCACTGAACCAAAGTGGCTTTCAATCAGGGACAAGATATTCGGTCCACATTGACTTCTGGGAGATCAGGCCACACTACAGTAGCAAGACATTGCCCCTTTTGTTGAATTTCGCTCTGCGTTCGACTATCCGCTGTGAGTCGTTATGAACTCCACAAATTACTGGTGATGTGCCAACCAAGCTTATTGTTCTTATCATGGTTTTTTACTTATCAACAAAGGACGAAGTCCGAGTGCTCCACATAGGTCAACCCATGTATCAGTTGGCACGCTATTCGATATATTGCAGTAAACTTATTTTACGGAACACTGCTCATAAGGCTACGGAAAACTCTTCGACAACTCACGACCGGTTTCGCCCTTCTTGGGGACCATCACGCAGACATAGTCCCTGATTTTCCGTCAACCTCATGTTCTACTTGAACCCAATAAAGTTACTCGACGAATCCTAATAAACGAACATAATAGACCAGGGGGTTCAGTTGGGTTTCTGTTGAATCCCATGTCAAAATCAAGTGTGGAAATGAATGCATCTAGCGAATTGCATCCAATTTTGGTTCATGTTGACGGAAACTCGGAGATTATGCCTACCTAATGACCTCGAGAACGAAACCCATCATTGACTGTCATGGGGTTTTCAGCATATAATTCGTGTCCAACTAGAAATTGTCTCATTGTATTCGTAGGTGTATCAAAGTATAGGACGGCAACTTGATTGTTCAAGGTGAAAAGCGCACGCTGAGTGACCGTGGGAAGCGCACTCAGGAGTGGGTGCTGGAGCCATCCCCACCAGTGTTGACGCTGATACTTCACTGCCGTACAACCGTCTGATTATTTTTAAAACCCGGGAGTGAAAAGAAGAAAAAGAGTGGATCAGCGGGGACCTAGAGATGGTTTATGTCGAGCATTCTGAGGTGCATACACCTCCAACCGCTCAATCAGACAATCTGGAAAGGAACCGACAACACGAACCCCACTGACATCGATTAGCCGCCATTTCTTGCAACGTTTCCATCAAAGCACAGGCGGTGTCACGGGGACACCAGGCGTACAACACCAACGACACCCAAACTCTTCGTGATCTCCTTGACGCCTTTCTGCCAAGTCATGTGCTGTCCACCTCGCGGTTTGCGCCATCCTGAAGGAGGCACGGAGAACAACACCCGTCTCGGTGGACGATGTTTCGGCATGCGTAGCACATGACTGAGCCATCGCAGTCGGTAGTACCGGATGTTCTCCCTGATTAGAGTACCTGCAGTACAACCAAATACCCGTCTTCTAATCACCTCGTTACTAACACGCTAACGCTATCCAAAACCAGTCACGGTGGTCGAAAACCTGAAGACGCCTCACATCATCTGTCCGCAGAGGCCACGTCTCGCACCCATACAACAACACAGCCCTTACTGTAGCCTGGTGCACACGACCCTTAAGATCCGGTGAGATGCCTTTTTGACGCCACAGGTGACGCAAAATAGCAAACGTGATTCCAGCTTTGGAGATTCTTGCACTGCCTTCATCAGACACACGTCCGTCAGAGCTAATACAACTACCGAGGTATGTAAAGTTTTCCACAATCTCCAGTGATTCTCCATGAATTGTAAGGGATATGTTCGCAGACAGTACATCGTGAAGCATGACTTTGCACTTTCAGGGTGCAAGGCGCATGCCTAAAGATGGTATGATGGTGGTCAGTTTATTCAACGGGGTTTGTGCTTCGCCTTGGTCTTCAAAGATGAGGGCGATGTCATCTGCGTACTCCAAATCGATAAGGCTCTCACCAGCAACAATTTGAACACCGGGATTTTGAAAACCGTCCAGTGTTCGCCTCATTATTTCATCAATGACGAAGTTGAACAAAAATGGCGAGAGTGGACATCCTTGTCGCACACCAGTTTCTGTAGGGAAGCTTTCGGAGGGTTCATCATACACTCTCACCCGCCCAGAAGTATGTGAATAGAGGGATCGGATTACGTTCAAAGGCTTCTGGAGCATACCCTGTTGAGCAAGTGCAATTAACAGCGCTGACCGGTCGACAGAATGGAAACGCACCCTTGAATTCAAAGAATACCGAGATTGTGGGTTGTCTGAACATATGGCATTGCTGTAACACCTGACGGTGTGAAGATGTGGTCGAACTGGCCCCTACCCAGTCGAAATCCCGCTTGATTCTCAAGAGTCAAGGTTTCGCGTGCCCTTGTAAGACGACGAAGAATCAGTGAGGCCAGAAGCCTTGTCACAACAGACGCCAGACTAACACTATGGTTACTACATTCACCGCGAGCCGTAGTCGGTGATCGACCCTCGCCAACGATAACTGACGGCGATGTGGTCTATTTGGGTTTGTGGCCGTTTTGTTGGTGGGCACTACATTGTCAAGCGATTTCTGCAGTTCCGATGCCACATGAGTTGTTATCTGTAAATGTCATGGTTGTACAAGGGTTGGGACACTTTCAGGACGCCCACACCTGGACAGGAGGACGATTAAGGTCCTCAACCAAGGTCTTTGGCTCAAAAGCCTAACCTCAAGGCAGCGGTGCTGGACTGGAAATGCAATTACATTGCTAGTTTTACGGAACACGTCGCCACCCATATTCCAAACCTAACCTGGAGCGCCAGGAGACTGTGCTCGTCAGACCTCTACCCAATGAACAACCTAGTATGAGACTGTGAGTGCTGCGCGGACAATGGGTCGCCGAGGCACACAAACCGCCACACTACGGTAAAGTCGTCTCTTCGTGACGGAGGTTCTGGAGAGCGAACCATATCCAAAAAACCGTTCAGCTGTAGCACCCTTTCGGTCCCTAACTGCCATTCCACCCGAGGGTTGCATGAGGGCTGGGATGGTGTCAGGTTGCCCGAGCCTAGACAGGGAAAGTCGAGAGGCAGAGGTCGGGTTCAAACCACAGACCTTCCGGTCAGTAAATTGGCGCTCTAACCACTTGGGCCATCTCGTTTCATAGCCAAAAGGTACACAAATACCACAGACTACGGGGAAGAACTCTACAGATGAGAACAATTGGCCAGTCGAATTATATGAACTTGTACTATGTTTATCTCTGAAGGATGAAAATGCATTGCTTGTCGGGAGGTTTCATGCGGCCGTGGTATGCAAACACACATACATAAACACAAACAAGTACGGCCTACAGGAGGGCGGAACAGCATTCAACTGTTAAACACACTTCCTGTCTTTCTATAAACTACTCAACAACCGAAATTCCTAGAGGAATTCTAAACTTGAGTAGCTCACCCATTATTATCTTGATAAACGAAACTAGTGGTAATTGGAAACAGGATCACTTCGGAAGGACGGAAAATCCTTCAAATGGATCTAAAAATATGAGGAAAATATGACCTTGGAAAACTCGGCATTAGCCGGCACCTAAGATGTACGAATTGTAGGGGAAAAATGATGTTAACGAACTGGGCAACCAACGCAAACAATTGGGGTTAGGCAGAGTGACATAAACCCACCCGATAATTTCGCATAAGCTTGATCAGGGAATTGCGCAACCCTGGTATGGACATGTCCGGTGAGATTTTGCGAAGTAACAAACGTGGATCGAGACCATCTGCGCTGGCGTGTTGCAGCAGTGCGCAGATGAATACGGGTTTGTCCACCGCAAACAGGACCACCTGTTGCCATAATTCGCCACTGCTTTCATCACGGTCCTCTTGTTCAGTTTCGTTCGGATCATCGTCCAACCGAACGCCATAGACTAAGTCTGACTGCTGAACACCCGTTTCGTGTTCATATCTGTACTGGGACCGAACATGATCCTCTTCACAACAGTAGGCGATTGCAGCCGCTGCCGCAGCAGACTGGCGCTCTTCAAAAGTCGGAGGAGTCCCATCCTCTCCGGTTGGAGCCAAGTTACCACCCTGTCAAGAAGGGAATCGAAACAATGAGTGTATGCAGCCTACTGTTCACCATATCGTGTGCGCCACTTGAGAAACAGTTCTGTAGATAAAGCATTTGGATTAGGAATCTGGCCTATAGGGAAAGGTACAAAATCGATTTATGCTACCGGACACGCCCTTTAGACATGGAGTAACCGAAAGTCATACTGCTGTATTACACCCAGGACACATTGCATAGTACCATAAATCCATGCCTATCAGCCATGAACAGCAACTGAAAGCCATGGTCACCATAAATTTGAATATCAAATTCAGCTCGTGAATTGCTAAAACTAATTTTAGCTCATTTCTATAAATCAAACTGATTTGCGAATTGTACACCGAAGACAATTTTTAATTTGGAACAAATAAATAAACATCACATTCGATAATGTAACCGAAGTAGGGTATGCGATCAACGGTTCGTCGTTGAAAAAAACCTACTTGTGGTGAATGAAGCGAAGGACCATTTCAGTAAATAAACTTCCTATCCAGTCTTCAGTGCTTTCCACAATGCTCTGACTGCTTCGCGCCAAACTTCAACATGATCTGTCGATGTGCAACTAAGATACGTAAGACGATGTGCGACACCTGGTGCAGTTGACTTATTGAGACGCTCTGGACCTTGAATGTAATTTCGAAAGTTTTTCGGTAAGAGCTATTCACATACACCATATCATAAAAACTAACGGAAAGAGTGGTGTGCGTCAGATGACGCAACTCGATACCAGCCCACGGTATGAGCCGTGTTTATTCGACACTTAAATTCTACACATTTATACATACCCTCAGTATAAACACCGACGGACTGACGCTAGACGTTTTGCCAATTCACAAGCTTCTTATATGAGCGACCATAATCCAGAAATCCAATCAGGCTGTTCAAAACCAAATCGTTAGACCTTTGACTGAGGTACTGTAAACGGTGCAGAAAGGATTTAGAGGAGCTGCAAATTGATCTACTAGAAGTCTATCGTGAATCTGGCCAGCTGAGAGACATTTTTAATCTGTGGTTCTTATGGCATGGACACTTGCTAAGCTACTAGTAACCTGAACGAGCACCGCAAGAACGTGCACG